GACATCCTGAAAACTCGTAATCAAATCGGACGGCTTTGAGTAACAGATTACTAATTTTTTCTGTTTTTTTAGGCCACCAGGATCTAACAAATTCTGTCGGCATCACCACGAATTCTAATGGCTTCAGAAAGATATGCATGGGATTTAGTATCTGTTCATCCTTACTAAATATTTACCTTTCGGTCGAGGGAAACAGCCTTCCTTCAATCCCTTGAATTTGTTGTGCAATTCGTCCAGAACAGCTGCGTAGTTTGCTTGAGCGCGTTCTCTAAAGTGCTTTTACCTTAACGTCGCATAACTAATCGATATATCGATTACCTAACAGGATCGCGAACATTTTGACTGGGTGATTGATCGCGAGCACGGTACTTCTGCGCTGGTTGGTTAATAGTGGCAGGTTGTCGCTGGACAGTGGCTCCTACATCACGCTTGGAACGCTGGAAATTTTCATGTTTTGAAGTTAAAATCTTAAATTCACAAATTTCGCCAAGGGCGAAACGTTATCTAAGGCAAGAGGAGGTAAGCAACATACGAAAACTTACAATTCTGCATTCAGAGGGGTTGTTATAGGAAGTGACAACCTCATTTCCTTCTGCATCTCTTTCGTTACACTTACATCCACCAGATGGCTTTGGGAAGCAGTTTTCCTAAATTTCGACGTAAGATGTGGACAAGAAAATGAGCTAATAAGAGAGGAATTCCTTGATGTTACCTTAAAATCTCCAAACCTCTCTTTGATTTCTTCGTTCAGCTCCTTCTTATGCTCAGCAGTCTGTTCTAAAATTTCAAATTTACAATAATAATGCCAACAATTTTAATTTCCCAAGAATTCTCCGTACAGAAACAAAAATGTTAAATTGAAATTAATGAAAAGCAAAACAAGCAAAGCTTACTTTCAAGGCTCTTTTTGCAGTCGGCATCCTCAGAGAACTCCCTAACCTCTTCGCCATGTCCGAGATCAACATTGCATTTGCAACCTCCTGATGGTTTTGGGAAACAGTTGTCCTGAGAAGAAGTACTTTAA